TGCTCTTACAGTTTGCCCACCGCATGGCTTCGGGTCATTGACCTCTGTGTTGCCACTCCAATAGCGTGCCCTGTGGGGTAGCCTGCTCCCCTCCATCCAGCACACGTGTGCTACCCATCAACAGCCGCCTTTTCCCTGATTACATCTACAGGCCAGAAGCGTATTTTCCACTTGTTTTGCAGTTACATGTTAAACAGATAGCGTACTCACTGGCGTATAATATCCTGAGAGCGAATGTATATTTGAGTTGCTGTATGTTGTGTGTATTTGAGAGGTTTTGATAATTATATTTGTTCTATAATTATTGTGATAATTTTTTTGGGCCCAGTGTCGGATAATATTTTCTATTTTCAAATTTACATTCATCAAAGTTGTACGACTAACGTTCATTTATTTATTTGTGTATTTATTTATTAAGCCAAATCACCTGAATGATGCCAAATAAGCATCATTGCATTTAAATTTCGAACGTAAAATCCCATTAGTAAAACAGCAATTTAACAGTATTTTTTATTTTAGTAATGTAAGTGCGAGTGACGTCGCATATTATACAAATGACATCATGTGAAGGCACCTTTTGGCCAGATATGCACAACAGCGGTACCTTTGAAGTGAAATCATTACTCGTTACCTCACATTTTCAGATCAATAAGAAGCAAAAAAAATTATGGATCCTCTAAAATGTCATATCCAGGCCTGATGTTTGGATTTTTTTCATTTTAATCTGAACATCGGGAATGGATCCCTATATGTGTATATGTATGTGTGTGTTCTTCGTGGTTCTTTCGGTAAAGTCACGTAGAAGGGGAGTAATAAAATAATAAAAATAAAACATAATAAAATAATTCTCACGACGTTTCGGCCACAACGCAAGCAGCCGTCTTCAGGTGGAGAACAGGTCTGTCAAGTAGACAGAGTCTGAATGTCACGCTCCAGGCTTAGAGCGACTATTTATGCTGGGATGGAGGGGTGAAGAGCGTCTTGACAAAATCATTTGCATATCAAGAGGAATTAATAAAAATGTATGTGTGTGTTTTTGCGAAGTAACTGAAAGCAAGCAGCCTTTGTCCACTTCAGTCGGCTTGAGTGTGACACTTCACAAAGAGTACCGTACCTATAAAGCTGTCATATTTGGAATCGTCAGCAAAAAAAAAACTACGAAATACACATTTTCATCGACCTTGGTTCCAAAAGAACAATGTTTTAGTTTCTTGTACTAAAAATTACTTGGGGCCCAAATGTGAACATTTTGGGTTTTAGATTTTTAAATCGGATTTTCTTTTGGATTCAGTGCCCTTCAAAACCTCCATGTGAACACATCGAGTATTCTTAAACATATATGAACATTTGCATGTCTATATTCAAGAACAAAAGGTTTTTTCCCCCTAAAATTTACAGTTTATGATTTTGTGTTAACAAGCATGAGGTCAACTACACTTCACCGCACTCCTGGTTCCACCAGCCCACAGGGGATTATTGTGTCCGTCCGTCCGTCGTGCATCCAAAAATGGGAGGGGTGGGGCTGGGTGGAGAGGGGAGGGTGGGGAGGTGCTGGGTGGGGAGGGTGGGAGGGGCTAGGTGGGGAGGGTGGGGAGGGTGGGGAGGGGCTGGGTGGGAAGACTGGGGATGGGTGGGGGGAAGGGTGGGGCTGGGTGGGGAGGGGAGGGTGGGAGGGGCTGGGTGGGGAGGGTGGGGAGGGGCTGGGTGGGAAGGGTGGGGCTGGGTGGGGGGGCTGGGTGGGGAGGGGCTGGTCACCCTGTGGTGCCCTTATAAAACTCAACGTTTAACCTACTCACGCCGGCTTGTGCCCGCCCTCACAGTCGGCCATATTTTCGGAATACACCACGCCGCCGTTGACCGTGGCCATTGACCGAGCAACCCAACGTTCCTACCAGCTCCCTCCGCAGGAATGTGTTATTCCCTTCTCGAACAAAGTATGTGTGTATTATTATTGTACGTGTGAATGAATACAGCGGGAGTGAGCAATTGAGTTAGCAACACTAACTCGGTAGTTTTTTTTTTGGGTGGGGGGGGGGGGGTTAGATTGCGTAAATATAAATGCGTCCCAAAAATACATTATAGATGATATTGGTCGCGGAAGCCTACGTGTAAAACTCCCTGGGTAGGTGGGTGGGTGGGTCGGTTGGTGGGTGGGTGGGTGGATCTGGTGGGTGGGTCGGTGGGTGGGTCAGTGGGTGGGTGGTAGGGCTGAACGATTAATCGATTTTAAATGAAAATCGTAAGTTGAAACAATGCGATTAGCAAATTGCAAAGGCTGCGGGTTTTTTGCGATTTGAAAAGTCCTATTACTTTCTTATTGGAATTTTATTTCTTTAACTTAACAATTGTTCTATGTTTGATTGTTCTATTTCAATTAAACATTTCAATAAATACATGTTGGAAGCAATTCGTATATTTTAAGTTCTCATCCTTGTGTTAGTATAGAGCAATTCATATTTTGATTGCATGATGTGATAATGCTCCATCACATGTTTTAAATCTATTACACAGTGAATATTGAACTGAAGCTTGACTTAAAAAAAGTGTAATTGCAAATCAAATCGCAATGTCAGAAAAATCGCAGTTAGAAATTTTCCCCAAATCGTTCAGCCCGAGTGGGTGGGTGGCTCTGATGGTGAGTGAGTGGGTCTGATGGGTGAGTGGGTGGGTCTGATGGTGAGTGGGTGGGTCTGGTGGTGAGTGGGTGGGTCTGGTGGTGAGTGGGTGGTTCTGATAGTGAGTAGGTGGATCTGATGGTGAGTGGGTGGGTCTGATGGTGAGTGGGTGGGTCTGATGGTGAGTGGGTGGGTCAGATGGTGAGTGGGTGGCTCTGGTGGTGAGTGGGTGGCTTTGATGGGTGAGTGGGTGGGTCTGATGGTGAGTGGGTGGGTCTGATGGTGGGTGGGTGGGTATGATGGTGAGTGGGTGGGTCTGATGGTGAGTGGGTGGGTCTGATGGTGAGTGGGTGGGTCTGATGGTGAGTGGGTGGGTCTGATGGTGAGTGGGTGGGTCTGATGGTGAGTGGGTGGGTCAGATGGTGAGTGGGTGGCTCTGGTGGTGAGTGGGTGGCTTTGATGGGTGAGTGGGTGGGTCTGATGGTGAGTGGGTGGGTCTGATGGTGAGTGGGTGGGTATGATGGTGAGTGGGTGGGTCTGGTGGTGAGTGGGTGAGTCTGATGGTGAGTGGGTGGGTCTGATGGTGAGTGGGTGGGTCTGGTGGTGAGTGGGTGGGTCTGATGGTGAGTGGGTGGGTCTGATGTGTGAGTGGGTGGGTCTGATGGTGAGTGGGTGGCTTTGATGGGTGAGTGGGTGGGTCTGATGGTGAGTGGGTGGGTCTGGTGATGAGTGGGTGGGTCTGATGGTGAGTGGCTCTGATGGTGAGTGGGTGGGTCTGATGGTGAGTGGGTGGGTCTGATGGTGAGTGGGTGGCTCTGATGGTGAGTGGGTGGCTCTGATGGTGAGTGGGTGGGTCTGATGGTGAGTTGGTGGGTCTGGTGGTGAGTGGGTGGCTCTGGTGGTGAGTGGGTGGGTCTGATGGTGAGTGGGTGGCTCTGGTGGTGAGTGGGTGGCTCTGGTGGTGAGTGGGTGGGTCTGATGGTGAGTGGGTGGGTCTGATGGTGAGTGGGTGGCCCTGATGGTGAGTGGGTGGGTCTGATGGTGAGTGGGTGGGTTTGATGGTGAGTGGGTGGCCCTGATGGTGAGTGGCTGGGTCTGATGGTGAGTGGGTGGGTCTGATGGTGAGTGGGTGGCCCTGATGGTGAGTGGGTGGCTCTGATGGTGAGTGGGTGGCTCTGGTGGTGAGTGGGTGGCCCTGATGGTGAGTGGGTGGGTCTGATGGTGAGTGGGTAGGTCTGATGGTGAGTGGGTGACTCTGATGGTGAGTGGGTGGCTCTGATGGTGAGTGGGTGGGTCTGGTGGTGAGTGGGTGAGTCTGATGGTGAGTGGGTGGGTCTGATGGTGAGTGGGTGGGTCTGGTGGTGAGTGGGTGGGTCTGATGGTGAGTGGGTGGGTCTGATGGTGAGTGGGTGGGTCTGATGGTGAGTGGGTGGCTTTGATGGGTGAGTGGGTGGGTCTGATGGTGAGTGGGTGGGTCTGGTGGTGAGTGGGTGGGTCTGATGGTGAGTGGGTGGCTCTGATGGTGAGTGGGTGGGTCTGATGGTGAGTGGGTGGCTCTGATGGTGAGTGGGTGGCTCTGATTGTGAGTGGGTGGGTCTGATGGTGAGTGGGTGGGTCTGGTGGTGAGTGGGTGGCTCTGGTGGTGAGTGGGTGGGTCTGATGGTGAGTGGGTGGCTTTGGTGGTGAGTGGGTGGCTCTGGTGGTGAGTGGGTGGGTCTGATGGTGAGTGGGTGGGGCTGATGGTGAGTGGGTGGGTCTGATGGTGAGTGGGTGGCCCTGATGGTGAGTGGGTGGGTCTGATGGTGAGTGGGTGGCCCTGATGGTGAGTGGGTGGCCCTGATGGTGAGTGGGTGGCTCTGATGGTGAGTGGGTGGCTCTGGTGGTGAGTGGGTGGGTCTGATGGTGAGTGGGTGGCCCTGATGGGTGAGTGGGTGGGTCTGATGGTGAGTGGGTGGGTCTGATGGTGAGTGGGTGGCCCTGATGGTGAGTGGGTGGCTCTGATGGTGAGTGGGTGGCTCTGGTGGTGAGTGGGTGGGTCTGATGGTGAGTGGGTGGGTCTGATGGGTGAGTGGGTGGGTCTGATGGTGAGTGGGTGAGTCTGATGGTGAGTGGGTGGCTCTGATGGTGAGTGGGTGGGTCTGATGGTGGGTGGGTGAGTCTGATTGTGAGTGGGTGGGTCTGATGGTGAGTGGGTGAGTCTGGTGGTGAGTGGGTGGGTCTGATGGTGAGTGGGTGGGTCTGTTGGGTGAGTGGGTGGCTCTGATGGTGAGTGGGTGGGTCTGATGGTGGGTGGGTCTGGTGGGTCGGGCTATGCTGAGTGAGTGGTGGTAGGGGGAGGGAATTGCAGGGCTCGGTGGGGCGGTTCCCACTTGGCACATTTCCTCCTCCTCTCCATGCGGCTCCAATTCGCGTGGCTCTCATCTGAGTCTCCGTCAGAGCGCTCGAACGGGACGGGTGGTGCGGCTTGTGCCTGCGACAAATCTCCCTCTCTCCGTGCGGCTCGCTCGCTTAGCTTCAGCTCACCCACCCACACCCACCCAGTCCTCTGTGAGATCGGCTCTCGCAGACGTGGCGGACGTCTTTGTGTTTTGTTTTCGCCGGCGGATTACATCGGGTGAGATACGGTTCGCTCGCGCAAACGTTCGCGTCTGGACAATACAAGATCAGCTGTAGTGCGCGCTGCGCTCTGCGTGTGTTTGTAATCCAGCGGTCTTACACACACGGAGAGCTCGTCCCTGTTCAAGGTTAAACACTGCAGGTAAGCGCTGTTTTCTAATCTTGCCGTGTGTGTGTAGCGTTGACTATACATATAGACTGTATAGCATTGTGTGTGTGTTGTGTATATAGAATCTGTGTATGTAGCGTGTGTATTTTAGACGGGTTGTGAATTCGCGAGACGGTTGCTTAAGAACAATCGTTGCAAGCAAGCATCATCATCAGTAAAGACATCGCTTTGCCGATTATCATCATCAGCTGCAGCAGTTAGCAACGCGAGCAGTATTACCATCATCATCTTCTTCAACAGCAGCAGTAGCAGCAGCAAAGAATATCGTCAACAGCAGCGGCAGGACGATCAGTCGTCGTCTTCGGCAGCAAAAGGACATCGGCAGCAGCCAGGACGACGCTTCAATAAAGCGCCTCTCGTAAATTAACAAGCCGTCTGTCAAACCGGTGAGGCCACATTGCTGAGATATGAACACGAAACGTCGGTGGCCAACGTTGGTTGAACGTCGGCGGCCAACGTTGGTTGAACGTCGGTGGCTAACGTTGGTGGCCAACGTTCAACGTCGGTGCCCAACGTTGGTTGAACGTTGGTGGCCAACGTTGGTTGAACGTTGAGGGCCAACGTTGGTTGAACGTTGGGGGCCAACGTTGGGGACCAACGTTGGTTGAACGTTGGTTGATCGTTGGTGGCCAACGTCGGTGGCTAACGTTGGTGGCCAACGTTGGTGGCCAACGTTCAACGTCGGTGGCCAAAGTTGGTTGAACGTTGTTGGCCAACGTTGGTTGAACGTTGGGGGCCAACGTTGGTTGAACGTTGGTGGCCAACGTTCAACGTTGGTGGCCAACGTTGGTTGAACGTTGGGGGCCAACGTTGGTTAAACGTTGGGGGCCAACGTTGGTTAAACGTTGGGGGCCAACGTTGGTTGAACGTTGGTTGAACGTTGGTGGCCAACGTCGGTGGCTAACGTTGGTGGCCAACGTTGGTGGCCAACGTTCAACGTCGGTGGCCAAAGTTGGTTGAACGTTGGTGGCCAACGTTGGTTGAACGTTGGGGGCCAACGTTGGTTGAACGTTGATGGCCAACGTTCAACGTTGGTGGCCAACGTTCAACGTTGGTGGCCAACGTTGGTTGAACGTTGGTGGCCAACGTTGGTTGAACGTTGGGGGCCAACGTTGGTTGAACGTTGGGGGCCAACGTTCAACGTTGGTGGCCACCGTCGGTTGAACGTCGGTGTCCAACGTCGGTTGAACGTCCGTCAACGTTGCCAATGTTCAACAGAGATATAACCGCCACGCAAATTACAACACACCGCTTGAGTACCACACCTAGCACCGCGCGCACGCACAGAGCCTGCGGTGTTAGAGACGACTTGACACATCTGAAGGCCACCGCGGCGTTGTTTCGTGTACACCAGCAACAACACTGCCACCGTGGGGTGTTACACGCTGCAGATAAACACACATCACGCAGCCCGGAGTGTGTGTGTTACACTCACTTGTGTGTTGCGTGTGGAATAGTGAAGCGAAGTACAATAACGCAGCAGCGCTTCTGCATTGCCTGCGCGCGTGTACGCAGAGACCTCTCCCGCAAGCCGCTGAAAAGTCATTCAGAATACGATTTTCTTTTTTAAATCCGATGAGTTATAAAGCACTCACTCACTCTCTCTTACTGATTTCCAGTAGGGGCGGGTCAGGAAGTCACAACAATATCCAGTGTGTGTGTATAAGAACGTGTCACTGATATAACAGCACCGGGCTGTAGTCATTACTGGGTGGGACCTCGAGATATTTACCATTGAATGCCCTGTGACCTTGCCAACACGTCTCGCTAAGCTAAGCAGGAGTTGAGCCGGGATATTGCTCGGATGGGCGACCCACATTAAGTAAAACGCGACGACTGTGTCGTAGAATGCTCCCGGCTCTAGAGGGCAGTGCATCGAAGTCCATTGTTGTATTGTACTGTCCTATGCTACTCACGTCTTATGATCTCCCCGCCATCGAATCGCACTGACCGGCTTGGTGAAGCATGGTCACAGCACACGCCACGATGGGGAATCTGTCATCCAGCAGCAGACTGAGCAAGGGGTGTACGTGATACCGTAACATCGCCTAATACGCTAAGCTGTGTTCATACAAAGTATTAACACAGCTTAGTGTCTCGCACGTGCAAAGCAGCGCGCGTATAACATCGTGTGTGGCAGGGCGATCGGGAGATTTGAGTGCAGCAATGGATTCTAGAATCCATCTGTGCGGATTTGTTGAGTGCATGTTGCTGATTGGGCTTGCGACCGCTCGTTTGTGGAATTTGGCCAAACGTCCGTCCCCGTTTTCGTATTGCAGGAACCCTCCACAGTAGGCATCGTCGTTTTCCACAATTTGAAACTCGGTAACGTCGTCGGTGAACGAAACGCCGAATGAAGTTTTCTTACCGTGGAGGGGATGGTCTCTAAATTGTCAATTTAATGGGTCCTCTATGATTTTCTGAGCAATTTATATATCCGTGTGTGTGTGTGTTGTGAGAGGATTGCAGGGGTCTCTCTCCCTCCTTTGCAGAGTGATTAATGAGACGTAATTCCCACGATTGAGGTATTTTATTTCTGCGTGAAACATTTCCGAAACAGATCCTGCTAAGTTTTAACCAACATGCTGGTCTCACTCTTTCGATGAAGTCCACAGTTACTCCATCTAAAATACACGTAAAACAATATATATTTTACAAGGGTAAGGCCCACTGAACAATAGAGCTCTTTTTCAAAAGTGATCTTGGCACAAATGACAGCTCAACGAAGTGGCTTATCAAGTGGAAATGTATAGCAGCCAAATACTCTAAAAGTCATGATTCTAAATGTGGAGGGAAAAACCGGAGGACCCGGAGAAAAATCCACGCGACCACAGGGAGAAAAACACGCAAACTCAAAATATACAGCAGGCGTCAGGGTCGGGATCGAACCCACAACCTCCTGTGTACCAGGCGATGTAGTTAACATCTCCTAGCCACCATGGCGCCCATCTCGTCTGGGAGATCCCCAACTTTTTTTGTCATAACTGCAAAGGGTGGTTGGTGGTTATAGCTTCAGGTGTGACATCTGGAACATCCTTCTCAACTCAGCTTTTTTTAGTTTCCTGCGTTATAAATTATTTTTAATTCTATAAATGTAAGCATATAGTTCCCCCTGTCCTGAGTGTTATTATTCTGCCTCCCATAATGCATCGTGGTCCCGTCTACTATTCGCGGTTGACCAATTGCACCGTTTGTGATTTAACCTATTTTTTTGGTAATTTACCAACGATCTTCCGCTTCTCTCGCGCCCCCATATAGCTTGTCACGATATCTTGCATCATATTTTTTGTTGTGTGATTAATTTCCTCATAATGGGTGTTACAATTGCGAGTAAATCTGTGTTTAGTGTGGTGTTTTATGAACACCTTTTTTTAAAACACCTTTTAATCTCCCTTCGTTTTTTTCTCCGTGTGTTTTGTGCTTTTGGGTTACTTTGTCCCCTATTTCCAAAACGTTTGCCACCCCTACTCTGAGTGTACCGTTAACGAAAACGTCAGTGCTGTTTATCTGTCATTCAACGTGGTAACATCCATCCAATCGTTTTGCATCTCTCGGAAATTTGAACGGGTTTGCCTTCGGACCTGTCAGAATTCCATTCACTCAGAGTGAATTACATCGTTGATGTTAAATTGCCCTGTGCTTGCCCTCTCTTTGATGAGACTTGAAGTGCCACTTGCATCTCACCAACCTCGTATCACTTCCTTTGTTAAATGTTGCTGTGCTCAGAAATCTCCAATTATCTGGGCGTTGTCAATGGAATCTTGCTTAATTCCTGGATTTGTCATTCCCCACTTCCATTTGATAGACTTTTTCAGGTCTACATAATGTTCTTGCTGCCTATCGATTCTAATGTCCTCGTCTCCTGCTCCTCATGGAGACGGGGACACAAATTGACACGGAGTGAGATGAGAGAAACGGAGATGAAATCGTATTCGCATGCGAATTAGCTTGCTATGTTTATGAGCTTGTTACGTTTAGCCTTGCACAAGCGCCGTGGTGACATCACCGCCACTTAGTGGCGAACGGCAACTGTTATGTTTATGAGGATTTTACATTTCAAGCTGATATTGGATGCACTCTGAAAGGTCTGTAATCTTGGGGGGGGGGGGGGGGCCTTGAGCTCTTTGGGGAAACTCAGCCTTTGCTTAGTTTCGCTTGCTCCCAGCACGGCCGCCACTGCTCACCGATAACCCCCCTCTGAGCCCACCGTTCCTCTTCTCGCCTCCAGGGACGATGGGACGTCGGTCACCGCTGCTCGAGTCATCCCAGCCACACTAGCCAGGTGGGTGGGGAGAGACCATGATGTAGCCGGAGCCCCTTTGCCCCCACCATGCGGGAATACAAGGTGGTGGTGCTGGGCAGCGGCGGGGTCGGCAAGTCGGCGCTCACAGTGCGATTCGTGACGGGCAGCTTCCCCGAGCGCTATGACCCAACCATCGAGGACTTCTACCGCAAGGAGATTGAGGTGGACTCGTCGCCCTCCGTGCTGGAGATTCTGGACACGGCCGGCACGGAGCAGTTCGCGTCCATGCGCGACCTCTACATCAAGAACGGCCAGGGCTTCATCCTCGTATACAGCCTTCTCAACCACCAGTCCTTCCAGGTCAGTCACAACCAGCGCACGCACGATTGTGTGTGTGTGTGTGCGTGTGTGTGTGCATGTGTGCGGTAGTGCAGCGGTTCGCGCGCCGCGGTACGAACCCGGCGACCCGAGTTCAATTCCCGCTCACGGCCAACAACACCGGTGGCGATTATCTGAACCGGTCCTCGCTCTCCCCTAGGTCGGCTCGGCCTCAAATGAATACCTGGTGCGGTGTGTAAACATCGCCACTGGGGAGACAAAGGGGGCCGGGCGTGGTGTTGACCACCCACCCCCTCGTGTGCCGTTCCGGCCTTCATAGGTGTTCGCTCGCAGCACTTGCCCCAACAGTCTGTTAAGGCTATACGGGGGGGGATCTTTGTCTTTGTATGTATACGGTAGTGTAGCTGTTAGCGCACTGCGCTACAAACCAGCAACCCGAGTTCGATTCCCGCTCACGGCCAACATCAGTGACGATTATCTGAACCGGTCCTGGGCCTCCCCTAGATCGACTCAGCCTCAAATTAGTACATGGTGCCGGTGTGTAAACATTGCCACTGGGGAGACAAAGGCGGCCGGGCGTGGTGTTGGCCATCAACCTCCTCGTGTTCTGTGGCAGCCTTCATAGGTGCAAGTTAACAGCACTTGACCCAACAGCCTAATGCAGGCTATACAGGAATTCTTTGTCTTTTGCCAACACAGTGGGGAGCACAGGTGGTGGCATCTGCTCGTCATCTCATTAATTTGACCCGTAACACTTGGCTATGTCCCACGTGACATCCTGCCAGCAAGCCCTTGGCACTTGGCCTCAAAGTGTACCTAGCCTGGGACAAGCGGTGTGACGACGTCACCGCCACTTGGTGATGATTCGCGGCTGTTGTTGTCATTGCCGTGTCTGTGTGGGTACATGTGTTTGTGGAGAGCGTTAGTACGATTCCGGGCCACGGCCGACGTCGTGTATTGAGAACTTTCCCCGGGCCCTCCTTGGCTGAATCGACCTAAACTGAGTGAGCGGGGTGGCTGTGTGAAACATCAGTACTGGGGAGATTGTGGCCATACGTGGTGCTGGCCACATCAACCCCACTCACTTGTGCAATTTACTGGCCTTTCATAGGTGCACGCCAACAACACTTTCACCCCAACAGTGGATGTAGGCTAGACGGGAGATGTCCCCCCCCCCTCGCTTTGTGAGTGAGTGAGAGAGTGTGATTGATTGACGCCCACAACAACAAAGTGGAATGCTGGAGGTTGCTGGGTGGCTCGGAGGTCAGGGCACTGAGCTGACACCGCTGAGATCTTGGGTACAAATCCCGTCAGCCGCCTGTGCTCAAGTGTAGTGAGGGGTTGATGGTCTCAGCTCGGCCACCAATGACTGCACACAAAAAAAGCAAACCGTCGCGTCAAATTTGGTTCGGCACTTAGTAATATGGACAAATTTCGGCTCTGAGAATTAAACATCGGTTTGAGTGTCATGCGGCAAACTGACCTCTCGTGTACAGATTTGGGTGGGAAGGAGCTTCCCCCTCCAACTGTGTGGACCAGAGGCCAACTTTTGAAGAGATCTCGGAGCACTGATATCCGCTTCCATTGGTCGTTCTCTAATATGAAGGGTTTCCCTGTGATGTGGCACATCTCAGATTATCACGGTACAGTGCGAAAGAAGTTCATACATACATACATACAAATACAATTGGATACTGCTAAACCGAGCAGAGTGTTGATTAGATAAAACACAGCGAGCAGGCACGGTGTTTGAAGTGCATGTTGTCCATTTGCCAGTCCTCTCAGTCAATTAACACGAAACATCTGGCTCTGTCCCATGTCCTGCCAGTGAGTTTTCACCACATCACGTGGCCTCACAGTGCACCTAGCCAGGCAGAAGCACCATGGCGATATTGGCAATGCATGGTGGTGAATGGCGGTCATTGTGATTGAGTTTGCGCAAGTGGTTTGTGCTTTGCGGCAAAATTCCCCGTGACGTGGGTTCGATTCTTGGTCATGCACTCATGAATGGTCGGTGGTATTCTGTAACGTCTCCCCTTGGGGGATTTATGAAACATGAACCATTGTCTCAACTACCGTACAGGGGGAGATGGAATATAATCGGCAACCTCTGGATTGCAAGGCCAGTGTGCTAATCGTTGCACCACGATACCTTCCCATTGATAGAACAGTATTTATATTTGTATACCGGTTAGCACGGTTGGCTACGTACGGTGCGAAAGAAGTTCAACATACATACGTTCACGCAGTATTTCTATTTTTGTTGACTGTTAAATGGGCAGAGACCATGAGTCGAAATTTTCAGCTACATTATAAACCGTGATGTGAAGCCACAGTTAATTTTCCTTTTGTAAGCCCTTCAAATAGGATGTCGAACCATTCGGGCCAACGACGGGTACGTGAATGAGACCATTAAACAACGGAGAGGACTGTTCCTGGGGGATCTGTGTGATGTTTATAGCATCCCTTCCTGCAGCACAAACAAGACATTCTATATTTACCCCCTCACTCGCGCAGCCTTTGCTCTGACTGTACGCGGCTGTGGTTGCATTGACACGGCCGCGGCGGGTTGTGCACTTCGCAAATCCAGTGAGAGTTTGTATTTCTCGGGCGGGTGGTAAAGGGTACCGGTTCATGATCGTATTATTATTATAATTAGCACTATTCATTTAACCCAGCCTCTCCACGTTCGCTTAAAACACACAACTTTGCCTCCACGCTCACACGAATTTGGGAGGCACTCCCCTCCATATGTTAAGTCAGTGTTGGAAATTCCACATTGCCATGACCGGGAGCATGGCCGCTCGTAGAATTACCGATTTTGACTTTCAAAAAAAGTGGTACCTTGTTAGGAATATTAATATTTGTAGATCTCTTGTCTAGAAAAGGCCCACCTGGTCTCATGATACTTTTTTCAGGGGGGTTTGGCTGCTAAAAAATGTCCATGTTATAAGCCACTTCGTCGAGATGTTAACTCCCTCGCCTGGTATGCAGGAGGTCGTGGGTTCGATCCTGACCCTGATGCCGCCTCTATATTTGGAGTTTGTGTGTCTCTCACTCCTTGTGGTCCTCCGGGTCCTCCGGTTTTTCCCTCCACGTTTATAAACAGGCATTTAGAGTATTTGACCGATATTTATTTCCACATTGATGAGCCACTTTGTTGTGCTATCATTTCGTGGCCAGGTCGCTTCTGAAAAACGAGTTTTATAGCTCAGTGGCCCTTACCTGGTAAAATTACAAAAAATGCTCATTTAGTTTTAGAATTCAGTCTATTGCTTCCCCATTCGTGATGTCCACCACGTCTGTACCTTTGACTGTATTCAGTCATGGCTAGGCATGAGACTTCTTGTCTCTTGAATATTTGTGCCATCACTCTTAATGCTGCGGGACAAACATTCCCCGTTGAGCCTTGCAGACTACGGGGCCAAGTGCTGTTTGAGGGCACCGACTTCGACTGGCATGGCACATGAAGAGGTGGTGGGGCCAACACCACACCCCCAGGCAACCTTTTATTTTCCCAATGTTGACATTTACAACTCTGGGACCCGTTTGCCAGTATCAAGATACTGAATGATAAAAAAAAGGCTTTTATTTTTTACTCTTTGCGAAGTAAATACAGGTGTTAAGACGGTCAAAGTGTTTACGCTCGACATTTGCCAGAGATGTTATCCATGGCTGGGACTTGAAGTTATGTTGGCAGGGTTGTAATGCGGTTCCACAAATCAGAGGTCCTGTCCTGCTGCTCACCTGAACACGCACCCACAAAGTCAAAGACGCACCACGTGGCATACACAGGTTGTTGTGGCAGTGCTGTTGGTGAGCACCTGTGATGGGCGAGCATGGTGCACAGATGAAGGGGTGGTGTGGCCAGGACTACCCCGAGCCACCTTTGTCTCCCCAGTACTGATGTTGTTGACACTGCACCAGGTACTCATTTAAGACTGAGTCGTCACAGGGGATGCCCAGGACCAGCTCAGATGTATCGCCACCCATGTTAGCTGTGGCCGGGAATCGAACCCGGACGGCAGAGTATCCTCCACAATGCCCAAACCATTATGCTAACGTTCCTCACACACAACAACAACAACCGCCATTCGCCACTAAGTGGCGGTGACGTCACCACGACGCTTGTGCCAGGCCAAGTGCACCTTGAGGCCACGTGAAGTGTCGAACGCCCGCTGACAGGAGGTCACGGGGCAGACCCAGCAGGTGCCACGGGTCGACTGACCGAGATGACCGAGATGACTGGCTGATGCACCACCTGTGCCCCCTACTGTACCAACTTGCTGTGCTTTAGCCGCCCGGCGCTTCGCTCGTTGTTGTGAGCGTCGCTCCTCCGCCCTCCGTTGTTGTTGGAGGGCGACTGCCTCCAACTGCTCAGTAGCGTCCTTCACGAGCCTCCTCCACTGAGGCCGATCTTGACACCGCTGGTACCAGTCATCGGCAAGTCCACTCAGCTCCACGTCCTCCTGTACCACATCACACGTGCACACACAAACACATGTGCACACACTTGCACACACACTTGCACACACAAACACACGTGCACACACTTGCACATGTGCATTATGCATTATCCAATTACATGTCAGGATCTGTTAACGTAGCATAAATAAATAAAAAACTGAAACTGTAAGCAGTTAGTTTTGGAATATGAGCCACCTTGGAATAGAAATACATGCGTATATTATTACATATAAGACAATGTTGTTTGAAAAAAAAAACTTTCCGCCTCTCAATTGATCGCAGCGTACAAAATGACAACAGCAGGATTGCATTTGTCTGCCAATCGATGTTCATCGCCAAAACCACATCGTGCCACAAGGCCATTCAATTCCCACGGCGATGTTTGTTTTACCTTGGCCTCCACTGCGCCCGGTGGATTTGCAGCGGCGGTCGCTTGGGCTGCAGTCTCACGCGAACACAAGCAGAGGAGGCCCCCCCCCCCCCCGTGCTTCATCCCCCCCCCCCACAATGATGTATACGGAGCCCGTCGTGAGTGAGAGATTGAGTGGCTGAGC